AATTTATGCATTATTATTAGTACATTTGCCCAAAAGCAGTCAAAATGACTTCCTTAGGCAATCTAGTGTTAAATTTTTGGAGTTAGAAGTACAAAACGAGTTGCGTATTTCATAGAGAAGAAAGTGAAACAGAACGTTCTAAGAAAACCAAGCCACAGACTACAGGAAAAGACATACCAAGTGCGCGTAGTTTAATTAACAAGGGCAGAGAGGTTGTCTGCATATTTTGTGAAAAGAGTGATCACGACAGTGCGAAGTGTACTCAGGCAAAGACTATGTCCCTTGCAGAGAGACAAGAGGTTGTAAAGAGAAAGCGTGCGTGTTTCAATTGTTTAAAAATTGGTCACGATAGGAGATTTTGTCGGGTGTATCTCAAATGCACGAAGTGCGCGCGTCGCTACGTTGACATTATGTGCAGAGAAGAAAGTCGGAGTGATACGCAAAGTGAGAAACCGCAAAATTCTTTGAGTGCCGTTAATATACAGAAAGAATGTAGTTTAGCTATATTGTGTAATGTGCCGAGTACTTTTATGCAAACACTAAAAGTTAAATTACGCAATAACTCAAGTGAGGTGATTGTGCGCGCAGTCACTCAACAGCTGCCTGGAAAAGGGTCCTAACTTGATCGAATTAGTTACCGTCATACTATTACGCTTTAGGGAAGGATGTCTGGGTGTAATTGCAGATATAAGAAGACCTTTTTTATAGATAAGTATACATCCAGCGGAGCGTGATTTTCTCAGATTTTTTTGGTATGACGACGAAGGAAAAGTTATAGTTTATAGACATTGTAGAGTGGTATTTGGTGTTTGTAGTAGTCCGTTTATTCTAGGAGCAATAATCAATTTGCATTTATCGAGCGTATTGAATTCGTTTAGCGGGAACTCGATTACGGAGATAGTTTATAATAATACGAAAAAACTTAAAAGAAGTTTTTATGTTGATAATTGCGTGACGAGTGTGAATAGTGTGGATGAATTGAATGTTTTCATGAACAATGCAAAAACCGTGATGGAGTCAGGCAAATTTGATTTACGCGGATGGGAATATACGAAGGACGGCGTTGCCAAGGGCTTTAGCAATGTGCTCGGATTGTTGTGGGACAAGGAGCTTGACACTTTATCTCTAAACATTGCTAATCTAGAGAAATTAGTTTTTGAGAAGTTGACAAAAAGAAATATTCTATCGGTAGCCCACCGTATTTTCGATCCCCTCGGTTTTGTTTGTCCAATAGCACTCGGACCTAAGATTTTATTGCAGGAAGCTTGGGCGGCCAAGTTATCTTGGGACGAGGAACTAAGTGACGATATAGAGAAACGTTTTATGCAATGGATTAACGAACTGAGGAATATAAACCAAATTAAGATCCCTAGATGCATGATCGGAATGGTAGACGAGACAGATGAGATCAGCTTGCACATTTTTGTTGACGCGAGTGAATTAGCTTATGCTACGGTCATTTTTATTAGAATCCAGCAAGAACATGACGTACAAGTATATTTCGTTCAAGCAAAAACACGAGTCGCTCCTGCAGTCAAAAGTAAGACGAATGCACGCACCAGTATACCGCGACTGGAATTATTAGCTGCAACGATTGGGGCAAGATTAGCAGCGCAAGTCATAGAGTCATTAGATGTGAAAAATGTAAAACTTTATTATTGGACAGATTCGTCAGCGGTAGTTACATGGATTCAGCGGGAGAATAATTGGAGTGTTTTTGTCTCAAATAGAGTCAAAGAAATTAGGCAATTGACCGATTACAGGCAGTGGAGGCATATACCTGGCCATCGGAACCCTGCTGATTTACCGTCAAGAGGCTGTACGGTTCATCAGTTATTAACTTCGAAGTAGTGGGAAGGTCCAGATTGGCTTAAGGAAAGTAAAGAAAAGTGGCCTGCTGCACACATTTTAAGTATTGACGAAAAAGAGGTCAATTCAGAGTTAAAGAAGTCGATTCTAGTACAGAACACCACATTGTTAAGCGTTAAAAGTAAAGATATTACAGTTGAGGAAGATAGTTTATTTTATAAGTTTTCCAGTTATTCTCAAATAGTTTGTGTCATGGGGTGGATTATGAGATTTATTTTTAATTGTAAAAGTACGACAATGAAGAGAAAAGAAAATTTTTTGACATCAGGTGAGTATTGCAATGCAAATATAAAGTTAATGAAGATGATACAAGGCAAACATTTTTATACTTTAGATGATGAACGCATTAATGCTTGTGCACCTTTCATGGATGATCAAGGACTTATCAGAACAAAATCCAAGCTTTTGTATAGAGAAGACAATTTCAATTTTAGGTGTCCTATTATTTTGCCAAACAATGACTATTTGGTGCATTTATTAATTAGAGAAAAACATATAGAGCTTAATCATGCCGGAGAAGTAATAACGATGAACGCACTAAGAGAAAAGTATTGGATTTTAGGAGGGCGAAAACTCGTTAGGAAAGTAATAAAAAATTGCGTGAATTGTTGCAGACATCAAGCTAAACAAGTTAGTGCACATACCGCGCCGTTACCGCTCGATAGAGTAAGGGATGCGTTGATATTTGAGGTAATAGGAGTAGATTTTGCGGGGCCGATTTATTTGAAGGGCGGACAAAAGGCGTGGATATGTCTTTTTACTTGCGCTGTTTATACGGCAGTTCATTTAGAATTGGTTAGTTCTTTGAATGTCGCCACATTTTTAATGGCTTTGCAAAGGCATATATCTAGACGAGGTAGACCGAGCGTCATTTACAGCGATAATGGTACCAATTTTGTTGGTTTAAATAATCAATTAAGAGCATTAGATTATGAGAAGATCGCAAAGACAGTCGCAATACAACAGATAGAGTGGAAATTTAATCCACCATCAGCTCCTTGGTGGGGAGGATTTTGGGAACGTCTCATTAGTGTGCTTAAAAGATTGTTGAGGCGCACACTTAAGAAAACGTACCTTCGTTTCGAGGAAATGATGACGACGTTAACAGATTGCGAGGCTGTCATAAACTCGCGACCGATAACTTTCCTGTCAGATAGTCAGGAAGATATAATGCCTTTGACTCCGTCAATGTTTTTACATGAAGTGAGAGAGATTGGTGTATGTAAGATTAAACGGAAATCTAACTATAAAATGAAGAGGGTGGCGAACGGTTTAAATAAAAACTCGTGGGCGTAACAAAAATACTTGGTAATCGTCAAATATCGCATTTATTCACAACGTCTCAATACTAGGACGGCTGTACCAAGAGTTCCTCTTTGGCCAGACCTTTCGGTTGTCCTAGGACCTCCCCCATCGCCAGTATGTCCTTCGTTCGTTTTATGGGTCTTTGTCAAGTTGCGTACCCTTAAAAGGCTTGCGTCGTTGGACGCAGTCACCCCCACTCTGCTATGCGTTTTCGAATTCTCTTACATGTATTAGATTTAGAAAAAATAGAAAAAGTTAAGTTAAATAAGCGTTTTTCATATAGACAAAAGATAAAGCATGATTTACGACAAAGATTTCGAAATGAATACCTAGGCGCGCTGAAACATCAGAAATGTAAGGGCGAAAATTTCAAGAATTTAAAAGTTGGTGATATAGTGCTAATAGGCAACGACAATGCAAAACGTTTAGATTGGCCTTTAGCTAAGATCAAGCAATTATTCATCGGAAAAGATGGCCATGTACGCGTAGCGCGACTAATTACAGCGACAGGTGAAATTACACGACCAGTTCAACGCCTTTATCCACTAGAATTGAGTGCTGATTGTAATAGTGAGAACGAAGTACGAATGGTATGCGAAAAAGGAAGAGTACCCACCAGTGAAAACAATGTATCTTTGGTGAATGAGGAACTGCAAGAAATTAAAACCAGAAGTGGACGAATTTCAAAGAAACCGGAACGTTTAACTTATAGTCAGTTTTCCACTCTGGAATATTTAAGTAATGGATAGATGTTACTCGTAAGACAAGACGTGTTGTGATTATGCATTTTCTTTTTCCGGCTGGGGAGAATGTCAAGTTAATATTTAAGCTACAGGATGTAAGTTTCAAATAGATGATAAAGAGGCGATCGCTGCACTGTTTAGATTAGGGGCCATGTGCGACGCGCACACTTGAGGAGCTGCGACGCTGTTTTAAGAGTCTTTTGTGAACGGTGATTTTTGGAGGCAGTCGTCCACGAGCATCGAAGTAAAAAGCAGTGCTCCACATATTGTACGCATTTCATGTTCGAAATAAATATTGTGTTTGTTTAAACCACGTTCTTGATTAATAATTCAAGTTAACCCAGAAATACTGCCCAGGTTAGTTGGACATTTAAAAATTGTCATGTCACAGACCGCTTTGCGCGAACAACTACATTGCATAATTTTCTTATTTATCGATACGTCACCATTAATTTCGGAAGGATTTTCTTTTAGGTTTTAGGTTTTAGGTTTTAGGTTTGCAAGCAAACAGCCTTGAAGGAGACAGTATCGCTTTTTTCCGAAGAATTTTTCCCACATTTAATAATGTGGCCTACCTGCTACACTCTTTCACCTTCTATGAACTTTCGTTGGGAAGGATTACTCCCATCCCATTCGCAAATACTGCGGAAAGAAATCATTTTGTTCTAAAAGAAATATATTCGCTCTATAATTCTGTGTTAATTCCTGGCCTCGCGTCCCCATGATGGTTAGTTATATTTATTGTTCCCGTCCCCGTGTCAATTCCCAACATGATTCACAATCAGTTCTTAAGAATGTCTTGTGCCCGTGTGTGTTCACAGTCAAGTACATACTTAAGTCTATCGTAGTATGAGCTACAAGCGTTTTAATGTTTATTCGAAGAAACATCGATTTCGAGCATAACGAAATAGACGGTATTGAAAAGCCCGTTCCGTGCGAAGGAGCAATTGTTTAAAAAGTGGAGACTTCATTGGTATAGTTTATGACAAGTACGTGCAGGAAGGTTATTTTTGAGAATTTAAACTAACATTTTGAGCATCGTCATTTCATTCACAGCAAGTTGTATATTTCGTCCATTTCACCTTTTTTACTTCATATCTCAATAACCTTTGCCATAAACTAAAAAGAAGCAATCATTCGGCTTAACAGTCCATCATAGGCGACCACCTGGAGGAGTTTTCCGCGCTCGTCCGTTCCTATTGAAGGCCAATGTGTTTGTGGAAACTAATTCCCACCTCAATTCCTTGTAAGAGGAATTTAAAAAACTCCGAAACGCCATAAGTAAAAAGAGGGACCAATTAGCAGGCGAATTATCCCCAAAAATCGTTTTCAGGCCAACGAAGGACAACCTAGGTTTGGACAAAGACATAACTAACTGAGGACAACCATTCGTGTCCCAAGCGACGACAACCATCCACGTCGAGAGTTCGCGTCGAGATCATTCGCATCGCGAGTTTTCATTCGCGAAGATAGCTGAGACTAGCAGTCGTGTCTATAGCAGGGTCAATTCGTTCGTGTTGTTATTGTTGGATTTGTCCGTCTACGTAATTTGACATATAGTATTAGTGTTTCTTTACATTGGCAAGTTCGCTTTCAAGACGCAGTATTTCTTAGAAATATTTACATTAGGGACGCACACTGAGACAAAAGAATAACACCAGGTGTGCTGTGTGAAGTAAACGGGTAGTACAGTTTCGTTGCGACAAAGAAAGCGGACGGTTAATCGGTCCATTTTGCGTAGTAGAAAGCAAACCGTTGCGAATTTAAAGCAATTTATATGTGCGTTATATACATCTATGTCTTTTTCAGTAAATTCATTCATGGTTTAATTCAAACTCTGCAGATTATTTATCAATCTGATCTGATTAAGCTGTCTCATCCCTAATCTAATCAATAGCCAGTCACCAAAATCACCATTACTCAGTCCGGACTTGTCATCCTCCACACTTTTCCTACTTTGCCTCGATATTCACAGTTCATTTTCCTGAAACCTCTATATAGCCCTATCCTCTCATCCCTAGACAGTCGTAATCTCCATTCAATTACATTCACTTAGCTTGTGTAAATTTCTAATAAAGTTCTATTTTCCACAAAACGTCGATCTTTAATTGCAAAACTTGAGTGATTCCCCAAGTCCTGCATTCAATGTCGAGGGGTTGAATCAACAGGGCATCACAGTCTCATTAGCTGACAATCATTCGTGTCGAAAGCTAATTGAATTAATTGCCCAAAATTAATTTGGCGTGCAATCTGTTGAATGATCCAACAAAGCAAATTGAAGAGGTTGAAGACACTGACGAAGATATTGATATTAATATTAACGAAATTGAAGATATTGTTTATTTAACTAATTATTTAACGTAGTAGAAGGGCTTAGTATCTCAATAAACAACTGTGGGATTTTATTTGGGAACCGGTATATAATTGAAATAGATATTAACCGCAG